AGAATGGACTCTGCTGGGATAATTTTATGATAAAACACTTTTTTCAAATGCCACTGGGTCCAGGCAGGCATTTACTAGCTACAGGGGCAGCAATCAGTTTCTTCAAAATTTACTGTTCTAAGCCCATTAGAGTTCCAGCGCAGCAAGGCTCTCGATGGAAATCGAAAGCGCCTGCCTTCATCTGAGGATGCTGCATGCAAATCTTCCAGGCTGAACTCCTACCCTTTAGTGTTAGGATGCTTTAGCAACTGGTTTATGTAAATACATTCATCAAAAGGGACGGTTTATTTTTAATTGATGAATATGAATTAGGAAATTAAGACTCTGGGCTAGAATTTGCTGAACAGACAAGCATCCTCAGCCCACAGCCCAGGCACAGGTGAAAACAAGGGGCTGGACCAGCCCCTTTGCCAGGCAGAGTAGCCAAAAATAAGCACTCATTGCCTTTTTAGAGGCAAAAGCATGGTGTGCCTTATTCAGGCATCAGCAGTTGAAAGCATCCCCTTCTTGGGCCTAGCTGAGGCTCTCTGTGAGGAGCACTAATTTTAGCCAAGTGTTGTAATGTGTGAGGGGGTTTTTGTGTGTCAAACATTGGCAGTGGGATCCTGCTTGTCTTCCAGCACCAAGCGCTCGGAGATATTGTTCTATACAATAATGCTTAACGACCATTGTCTACCATGATGATTTGCATGTGGTTTTCATTTGTGGGGTGAAAAGAAAGAAACAAGTAGGAAAGGAAGAATTTTTTAGATTTTTTTTTTTGTTGTTGTTTTTCTGTGTTCCCCCTTCACCTAATACAAAAGACCTTTGGCTACATAACCTTTGTGAAGCCGTGCTGCTGTTAGAGAAAGCATCTCTGAATGAGGTGATGGTGACCTCATCGTGGTGGGGCATAGCAGGGACAGTCAGCACCCTGAAACATGGCATTAGCCCTAACACTTCTTCACTGCCAGCTTGGAACCACATCCAAATCCAAGGTGCCATTCTCTAGCAGACATGTTCTCACTTTGAAGTGATGTTAAAATGTCTCTGCATGAGAAGAGGTGCTCTGATGCAGCCCTGCCCCTCCTCTCCATGCCCCTTGAGCCTGAGCCTGGCAGGGATTGCAGCGTGCCACCTCTGCCCACAGCAGATAAGTAACTGACAGCATTTTAACAGAGCCATGAGGTTCTCCACAGAGTAATTTGTTTTCTCCTTCCTCACCAGGCCTTAATGTTTTCTTACAAACACCTAAAGCAAGACCCTGCTAACAGCAATGGCTTAGGCCAAGGATTGTGGATAAAAGGCAAGGATGGGTTTCTGAGCTGACAAGACCTGTGCCAAGGAATTACTCTTCCCTTTGTGTGAATGGGCTTTGATGCAAACAGAGAGCAAAATTCTGGTGATTGATGGACAAGCTTCCAACATTTGATCAGAACTTTGTGGTGTCCCACAAGTTGCAGTGTGATAAAATATCTATTTAGAATCACAGAATACTTTAGGTTGGAAAATATTTCTAAGATCACTGATTCCAACCATAAATCATGTCCAACTATACTGGAGGTAAGTCCAGAGGAGACCAAAAGGATGCTTAGGGGATTGAACAGGTCTAATATGAGGAAAGGCTGAGGGAATTGGGATTGTTCAGCCTGAAGAAGAGAAAGCTTCAGTCAGACCTTAGAGCAATTCCAGTACCCAGCAGGGCTCCAAGAGGGCTGGAGAGGGGCTTTGGGCAAGGGCATGGAGTGTCAGGATGAAGGGGAAATGGCTTCACATGGACAGAGGGCAGGGTTAGATGGGATACTGGGGAGAAATTGTTCCTGTGAGGGTGGGGAGGCCCTGGCACAGGTTGCTCAGAGAAGCTGTGGCTGCCCCATCCCCAGAATTGTCCAAGGGCAGGTTAGATGAGGCTTGGAGCAGCCTGGGATAGTGGAAGGTGCCCCTGCTCATGGCAGGGAGCTTGGAAAGAGATGGTTTTCAATGTCCCTTCCAACCCAAACCATTCCTTGATTCTCTGATATTTGGTGAAGAATGTGTGATTTAGGAAGATGACAGGGAACAGTGTGGCATAATCCTTGTCTCTCCCCCAGAACTACCCACCAGGATTTATACATCCATTATTCCCTCTCATTCACCCAAACCTTATGATTTTTCTTTTTCCCTGTGTGTTCTGTATCATCTAAGCAGTTAAAGATTTGATAAGAAAAAGTTGTCAGAAATCAATTCTTCTTCCCCTAATTGCATGGGTGTGATAAAAGATCACACAGGGAATCTGCAAGAATTTACACACACATGCAAACAAATAGCTGCTGTCAGTTCACATGGAAGATCAGATAAGGCCATTATCTCATGTCAAACCTACCAGTGTGTGACAACAGTGTGGGGAAGGATATGGGGCAGGAGATAGAGGAGCAGGAGGAACAATGGTGGAAGTCACGATGAGTAAATTCAGAAGGAAAAAAAAAACCCGCCAAATCTAGATTGCAAAAACTATCTGAAGATTTCTGGTCTAAGGGAAACC